CCCCCCCCCCCCCCCCTCCCGTGCACATTGCAGGCCATGCTGCTCAACGACATCTTGGGCGTGGAGCGCGACATCGTCGAGTTCGGGGTCGCTGCGGGCGAGGACTTCGGCGGGCTCGCCGTCGACACGACCGAGCTCGAGCGCACCCTTGACGAACTCGTCGGCCCAACCGCCCTCGTTTGACGCTCGCTCTTGTCACGCTCGTGAGGCGCCCCACCCTATTTCACTCCTCCGCGCCTGACTGTTTGAATAGATTCCCGACCAGCTCGTACGGAAGGGCTGGGGTGCAGCCTGAACTGACCGCTGGGTGACGGAGTCGGCCGGCGGCCGATTGGCGCCCTTGCTACTGGTGTTCTCGGATACCGCTGGCTGGCGTCTGGCCCTACGAGAGCTAGTGAGCGCTGCCGTGGGGCTTGTTGGACGCCGTGTAGGTGGCGGCGGCGGCGGCGGCGACGCGCGTGACTTGCGGCGTGAGATTTTGGTTGGTTCGCCAACGAAAGGGGGGCGGGACAGCAGTGAGCGGTATTGGTGCTGGCGGTGGAAGTTGTAGCCTCAGTAGGTCGACACGACTGCGTGGGCTGCCATTTGGTGACACTACTATTATTGTGAGAATTGGCCATGCCACGTTGCGGGTGTCCCAGCCGTCGAGCGCGAAGCTGGGCAGCGCATGCCGTGAGCGGCGTGTGGGGGGCCATCTGCCGCGTGTTTTTGTTGATGTGGTTTTTGGCCCCGTCGTTAGGATGGCGCGGCAAAAAAGTGTTGAACTACTTCGGCAAACCCTGATATGTTTTACGGGGTGATGTGCCGACTGGTTTTTCATGCGAGACAGGGCGGTGGCAGGTTCATTGTGGCAGGGCCGTTGTCTTCGGGCGTTTGTTTGTAGCACGTGCCCACCATACCTCCGCCGTAGAGCGGAAATTCGGATAAACGGAAATTCGGATAAACGGGGTTAGCTGGCGAAATTTCGGATTGAAGAGTTGCATCGCAGCCGCGTGTGAAATCAGTGACCGTTGCAGGAATGTGAATGTATGCAGTTCAGTGTAAGCTTGTGGTTGATGTTGTGGGTACACGATGTGGTGGTTGTTCGTAGGACTTGAGGCGAATTCATAGAGCGGGTACACGATGTGGTAGTTGTTCGTAGGACTTGAGGCGAAGTCATAGAGCTGGCTATTCTAGCACCCGCGGGACAGCAGCTGCTATAGAGTGTTGTGTGGGGCACGCTGCACTGCTTGCTTGGTTTTAGTCTTAGCCTGTCTTGTGTGTTGGGTTCTACAGTAGTACCGCTACTAATAGTAGTATTGGCTTCCTCTGCGACAAATAGTGTCCGGCGTTATTTTTACAAAAACCGGTGCTTGCCGATGTCGTAGAGACGGTGTGCTAGTGTACATCGAAAGGCCTTAATCAACGCAGTGGTCCAGATGTTGAGGTAATAAGCCTTCCGAGAGTTTGACTAGTGTTTTTTTATTTCTCTCATGATCCAGCATGTCGCCCGGACGGGGTAACACGCCCTGTTGCACCACGGGCCCGCAGATAAAAATAACGTTTTTTTCATTTTATTTGTTGTAGATACAGCTGGATAGAGACCCAAGGACAGACCCTCAATTTTTCCACAAAACTTAGACTAAGCAAGTTGGTCGAGCGACGAGAACATCCCACACGGTAAGCGACGTGACGTAAGATACCATACCTCCCGGAACGATTTTCGATCCGATTATTGCAATGCTGAAACAGCTACAGCCGAAAATGCTGTGGCGACAGAACCGTCCCATGGGGAGCGTTCCGAATCATTCCCCATACATGGTATGATTGATTTGTTCGTTCGCGTCATCTTGCAGGAACCGAACGTTAAACGTCGGTCCAGGGGGTGCGGTATCTTGAGTCATGTCACTACTTCTACAGCAGTATTCAATCTGCTGCGCGGGGGCTCGGAGCGTCGGAGCCCGTCATGTGTGATGGGAAGCATGCGAATCAAAACACTGCTGTGTACAGCAGTAGTTCATCATATATGTCCGTCACGTGACCACGTGCCCAGAGAGAGGGAAGCAACGAACGGCCAAATCAGAGGAAGGCTGCAAAGTAAGTAGATACCGCGTTCGAGATAAACCCACAACAGCAGTCGCATCTTGGATGCAGACACGCAGACATGTGCAGACTAGGGTCAAATTGGGCGGATAGTCCAATACCAAGAAACTGCAACAACATTGGTTGTCAGGTCCACTAGGGGCGACATGAATCGCACATCTTCGATACAAGGGGATCTTTGCGCGGCAGCCGACTGCCACCAGGCACTCTCGAATCGAATCTTCCAAGAATCTTCAGAGATCAGATTATTTCATCTGTTCATGTTGGGAATTTGCTTGCGTTTACTGGCCGTTACGCACATACAATGTCATGTTGCCGGCACGACCCCCCCCCCCCCCC